CCTCTCGCGGCGTCTGGTTCATCACAGCAACTTTGACAAGGAGCAGATGACTCGCAGGGCCCTTCATGAGGCTTGGGATCAAGCGTCCCACTTCTTTGTATTTCCACCCCTGATACAGGCCCTTAATAAAGGCTTATGAATGTCACTGCTTCAAAGGGGCCGGGATGGAAGCGGGCGGTTTGCTTTGTTTAACTCTTGAAGTTTCTCATTCATCATTTGGGCCATGCTCGCTGTATGCTATTTAATAGCGTTCGCATTTCGCAAACACTAGGAAAAAAAGCTTTTGGTGGAGGTGAAAGTACACTTGATCTTGCTATTTATTTATATTTAGTCTGCTGACTTCTCAAAAGAACGGCGAGGCGACTCGTACGCCTGGGAAAAGGCAGAATACTGCAATTCCTTTCCGTCTACTTCCCTCCTCTTCCCAGTTCCGGCACCTCTCATTCTTGGTCTGTACAAAAGCCTCGCAGCGGCTCTCCGAGCTCTGAGGTCTGGCCCCTCCGCACCCTTTCTCCACGTTAAAATCTGGGGACGCTGCGGAGAATCTGCATTTGTTCACGTCCATCCTTGTCTGCCCTTCCTTGCTCTTTCAAGAGATGCCTCTCGTGGTCTACCTTTCCAACCAGATGGCACCCTTGTCCCTCCAGCCGTCTTGCCTCCCCGGAGGCATATGGGACCTCTCAGCTCCTTCAAGTTCTGTTTGCCTTCATCTAAAGGACTTGTTCCAAGTGACTTTGTCAGTAACTGGCCTGCTCGGCTGTTTCCCCCGCCTCCACCTGACTCAATTCCTGCTCAGACTTTAAGTCTTTCTCCAGGAAGCCTCTCCAGAGTGTTCTACGTGCTCCTTAGAGAATTATTGATCCTACTGCCTATGTTCACTTGCTCTATCCCCAAACTGAAGTCCGTGGGTGCTACAAATGGGCTAGTGGAGAGGATGGTAGTTCAGACTAACTCCTGGACAAACAGGCCTGGGTGATGTGCTTCTGAAAAGTTGCAGCTTGGAAAGTTCCGCGGAGCACAGTTCCACTCTGCATGCATGCATGGGGCTGTTGTGAGTTGGACAACCGACAGCACACCAAGCCACTTCCACTGAGTGGATTCCCACTCAGCGTGGGCCTTTAGGATGGGGTAGCGTGGGCCCATAGGGGTTCCACTGCTGTAATCTCTATAGAAGCTGAAGGCTACATCTCCCTCAGGAGGGTTCAAACCGTCAACCTTTTGGCTAGTAGCCAACTGCTAAACCACTGTGCCACCAGGGCTTGTAACAACAGCAATCCCTAAATGACAGCATGAGTTAGGAGGGCAACCATTGCATCTGCTGATTCACCTACTCCATCCCTCTGCAGGCTGCCTGGCTCCTGGCTGTGCATGCTGAAGAGTCCAACCAAGGGATCCTACTGATGAGGTGTGATTTATAATTCTGTCCCCTCCAAAATGTGTCAGTTCAAAGAACAGAATTTATAACAAAATACTGTTTCAGTTGAGGACGTACCCACCGAAACATGAAGGCGGCTGTTGGCTCTGAGAAAACAGAAATTTCCCCTCCCACAGTGACTCCTGAGGAACCACCCACAGCTGGGCCCATCTCCCACATGACTCAGACACGCTTCGGTAGCATGTTCTTGACAGATAAATGGAGTCTCTGTTCAAAAGGGAACTCAGCTGGGACAAAACCCTAAAGCTTGCTCTAAGACAAATCTCATGTTGTAAGCCCCAAGTGAACAGAGAACTCCACAATTTAGATTCATGCCTAAAAGGGCTGCCAGCCCCAAATGATGCTACTTCATACCTGCAAAACCACAGGCCAATTTACGAAACGGAAGGAGGTCAACTTCGTATCTTGGGAATGCCCCAGAGGACTGAGAAAGCATGGGTCTGGGAGGCCGGAATCTTGTCATTGGAGAGGTGCGTGCTGTATGGAGTCAAGTGATGGGCCAGGCCTGGGGTTCCAGCTCAGGCAAGAACTGAGTGTATCTGCCCCGTACCCTGGTGGAGATTCCAGTCTGATCAAATAGACACTTGGAGGATGGACTTTCAAAACATATCCTTTTGCTAAATTCTAAGTACACCATGCTCAGCTACTAAATTAAACCCAGCACTCATGGGATTGGGGAGTAAGGCATCATTTCAGCTACTTCTGCACGTCAAAGGAATTTTTTTAACCATATTTTCCAGAATCAACAGATTGATGACACTAAAGAGTGGGTAATGTTTCAACATTAAAACCAAATGACGAAGGGCTTGGTTTTCATTATATCCTTACTCAGCTAGTAACCACCCCCAAAACAAAACCAAAGAACTACCCTTTGGGGTGAGATTCTTCTACTTTCAAGAACAACTGTGTTCAATCTTATTACCTGGTGCCTAAGAGGTGCTCAATAAATATTTGTTGAACAGAAAAGCAAAAAAAAAATTACTGTAAAATATGTTGTCAATTTTAGATCTGTTCTTCAACTTCTTTTTTTCACTCCTCTCTTAGGGCAAAAACATGCGCGTTGTCTAGGCTTTTGATGATCATCTCCTTGTCTGAACTTGGGTGGAAAAGTTACTTAACTTTGGGATCATGTTCCTCATGTAAAATATAAAACCCATGTCTCAGTCACTCAGGCTCAAAGGATCCATACAGTAGGCAGAAAGTTACTAGATTCTGCGCAGCCGATAGTTTTCTTTTTCTTTTTTGTTTGAGTCTCTTCACCATCCACACACTCCTACCTCCCAAAGAAAGCTCATGCCAAAAATAAATTGAATCTTGAATAAAAAGTTAGGGATTTTCCTATGTAGCCTCGATTCAGCAATATTAGTAATCAATCCTTGGAAATTTTTGCTTACTCTTTTGGGGCCTTGGTGTTTTTTTTCCCCACTTAACAACGAGTGAGTGTCCAAGTACCCCCTCAATGCAAGAACACTTTGTTCTATTTAACTGGCATTCGATGATGCTCACCTTCCCGACACGACCACAGAAGACAAAGAGGGAGCATAAGCAAATGGGGTGAAGAAATCTGATGGTGCTCGGCTATCAAATGATATAGCATCTAGGGTCTTAAAGGCTTGAACATAACCAAGTGGCCATCTATCTGAGAAGCAAGAAAGCCCACATGGAAGAAGCACACTAGCCTGTGTGATCACGAGGTGTCAATAGGATCAGGTAACAGGCATCAAAGAACAAAAAATCATATCATTGTGAATGAGGGGGAGTGTGGAGTGGGGACCCAAAGCCCATCTGTAAGCAACTGGACATCCCCTTACAGAACGATCAAGGGGAGGATATAAGTCAGTCATGGTGAGGTATAGCACCAATGAAACATACAAATTTCCTCTAGTTCTTTAATGCTTCCTCCCCTTCACCCCACTATCATGATCCCAATTCTACCTTACAAATCTGGCTAGACCAGAGGATGTACACTGGTACAGATAAGAGATGGTAACACAGGGAATCCAGGACAGACAAAACCCTCAGGTCCAATAATGAGAGTAGCAATACCAGGAGGGGAAGGGGAAGCTGGGGGAGAAAGAGGGAACCAATCACAATGATCTACATATAACCCCCTCCCTGGGGGATGGGCAACAGAAAAGTGGGTGAAGGGAGACATCGGACAGTGTAAGACATGAAAAAATAATAATAATTTATAAATTATCAAGGGTTCATGAGGGAGGGAGTGTGGGGGAGGGAGGGGAAAAATGAGGAGCTGATACCAAGGGCTCAAGTAAAAGGCAAATGTTTTGAGAATGATGATGGCAACAAATGTACAAATGTGCTTGACACAATGGATGGATGGATGGATTATGATGAGTTGCACGAGCCCCCAATAAAATGATTGAAAAAACAAAACAAAACAGAGTAAGTGCGTACCACTAGAGCATTTAGATTCTGCACGGTGCAGAAATCTGCCCTACATGTTAGCTAACAGGAGTTTCTGTGATCAGAAATGAAATGAACCTCAATTTCCTTTCAAAGGGAAGGCCTCTAAATGACAACCTGAAGGAAAACAAGGCTTTTGAAAATAATTTGTATCAATCCACTAAGTCAACAAAATGGCGACCGGGGCTCTCAAAGCAACAGAAGCCCCCCTCAGCCCTGCCCCCACATTCACCCTCAGGACACCTGGAGCTTCCCCACCAGGATGCACGGAAAAATAAATCTAGGGATTCTAAGCAGTGTCACAAATAACAAATCGATCATTTGAACTAAGCAAAGCCAGTTGGTGCAGTATGTTAAATCTATTGGTTAGCTTAATTTTTTTTCAACCCCTGAAATATACCCAGTCAGCCAAACAAAGAACTACTAGGATTGTACACGACCAAAATGTCTACGTTTTCATACATACCCAACGCTCGACTGCCACCTAGTGGTACGATGCACCTTGTACATAAGAAAGTATGAGAACATTCATACAGTATACCTAAATTTACGCAAGATAGTAGCTTTAAAAACAAAATACAGCAACCGAAGCTGTTTCCTCTGCTGTTCACCATTCCTTCAGGGGAACTGAAGAGCACACTCATTCTCCTCATCGGTTCATTTTCCTCAGAGGAGTTTGGGGAGTGGTTTTACTACAGATGAGTCAACCTGACCTTACAGCTTGTGAATAATACTTCACAAAGGAGCAGTATTACTTCTACTCATCTTACTATGCATTCATGATTTAATAAGATTGCCCCCAAAGTCTGTTCTCATTCCCCAGTTTTCTTTGAGCTGCTCTTGATTTTCAGTTCTGCATGAAAAGTCATCAAAGGGACAACCTTACCCAAAGTCCACATTATATGGAACACATGACTTCAGTTAGAACCAGTTACTAAATCCTGGCCATTTCCAGCTGTCTCTTCTAGCTCACCCTGGGAGAATGATAGGTCACATTAATTGGTACTCTGTCATACAAGAAGACAACAGTGATGATCAGTGGCATCCTTAGTCATGTCTTATTCACCAGAGGGATCCCACTCACACCTCAGTGCCTTCCAGCGGGCACCCCCTTTCTGGTCATGCAAACAAGGCTTCCTACCTTCCTGAACTTCTCCATTTGCTTGTAGAGGTCTGGATCCAGCTCCGGCGACACATCCTTCATCCACAATAACGCCCCTCTGTACTCCGTCCGGCACTGCTCCATGCGGTTCACTGTCAGCCAAGTGTCCGAGATGGCCCGGTGCCGAAACGTCTCCACTTCTTGGTGAAAGCGACACAAAGGATTTCTCAAGGCCAATCTAAACAAGAGGGTAAAGCCACAATCTTGAAACTAAACTGGCTAGCAGTTTAAATCCTTGAGAGTTCACTAATCTTTAAGTTCCGAGCCTTGAACATTGCCAGGAACATAGAAGATGCTCTACTGTAACAAGAAATGAACGTGAACTCATGAGTGTGTCGGATATAACTGCCAGTGGTTCACTGTGATGTAGCTGGGCTACTGGGAAGGACCTCATCCAGGCGGCTGGGCAGGTCTCTTACCTGGCCAAGTGGTCATTTGAAACTAGAGCCAAACCTGTGTGAATGGACGAAGATCACGGGTGAACATTTCACCTTGGGCCGCTAACTGTGAAGTCCCCGTCCCAAACCACCAGCTTGCTCTCAGGGAGAGAGATGAGATCTTCTACTCCCGTTAAGAATGACAGTCTCGGAAACTCACAGGGACAGGTCTGCCCTGTGCTATGGGGTCGCTGTGAGTCAGCATCAACTCGTTGGCTTTTGGTTACTGTTGGTCACCCCTGGCGTCCTACTCCTGTGAAGCCTAGTTCTTCTTGAAGGGATGGAAGGATGTTGGATGGGTGTCTCCTCAATGGGCTAGGCCCATGTATATTCCTCCCCGCTGCCTCCGGCAGTCCCCAAAGTGGAATGAGGCATCAACAGAATGCTTTTTATTTGATCTAGGCAGGAGAAAGCACATTTACGGAGACTATGCTACAGGGTGGCACTTTAAGATTAGGTTATTTGATTTGATTCTCTTTTAAAACAATAAAACACAATAAAGTTTAGGGATATTATCACAGGAGGTGTAGAATAGTAATAATATTGGCGGTAAACTATATAGTCTCATTCATTTGGCAAGAATTTTTTCAGACATATCAAACTTTGGAGAAGATACTTATTTCTTGGTGGGGCCGGGGCTATTTTTCCTTTCTTCTTCCTACCCCAAATGAACCAGGTCCGATAGATTGCACTCTTAAAAATAGACTGTTCTCTGTTAAGTTTCATAGCACATATTCAAAGTATAAAACTAAGAGGAGTATTTCGGTTTAAATGGAAACTTACGTAGCAGAAGGGAGCAAGGCTGGAATCAGCTCTTGGCTGTTCCAAGGCTGGAATCAGCTCTTGGCTGTTCCAACGCCATCTGAGCTGCCGTAGATGGAGGCAGCACTCTGAGACGACAGAGGGCACAGTGCATTTCAGTTGTTTCACATTTTTTCCCTTCTGACTTTCTCCAGAGGGAAAACTAAGATAAATCATTGAGATAAGAAGATGCACCTCAAGATTCTAAACAAGCATCCTTCTTGGATGCCTAGGGCAGCACACTATTTAGAAGGTTTTATTCAACTCTGTAAAATGGCATTGAGATGGCCTTGCCCACAGTGACAAGGCCAAAAGGTAATTAAGAAAAGCCAACATTTCCAGAAATATGGACACGTTTTTATCTTTTTTCAATTCCCCCTGTCTTGCATGTTCATGGAGATTATCTGTGGGACTCCTAGGGATGGGTTGCAGGCATGCATCCTGGTCTTGAACCAAGAGGAGGAACCGCAGTAAGAAGACATAAACAAACGGATTTTTTAATGTTTAACGAATTGAGTAAGTGCAGTTTCTGTACTTGAATATTTTTGGAAACCAGTTACAAATTATTTAGGAATAATTTAGCCTAATATTTGGGGGGCTTTTTAATTGCTAGAAGAATTGTTCTCATGTACAGAGAACAACTGTCTGGTTATTCGAGCCATGCTTGAGTTAAAAGCGGATTGTAAGAAAACCACAAATAACCCAATCGAAAATGGGCACCAATACAAACAGCCAGTTTACGAAAGTTGACATCCAGGCGGCCAACAATCATGTGAAGAAATACTTGAGTTCTTTTGCCATAAAAGAAATAGAAATTAAAACAAGGAGATTCCATCTCACTCTGAAATCCTTAGCAGAATTCAAAAGAACAAAAAACAGAAAACAATACATGCTGGAGAGGATGTGGAGAGATCGGAATGCTGGTGGGATTGCAGAATTGTACAACCATTCTGGAAAACAGTATGGTGTTTCCTTACACAAATGAGAATAGAAATAACTCATGATCCTGAAAGCTCTTTGCTTGGTATATATAATCTAAGGAAATAAAGAATAAAATACAAACAGATCTATGCACACCCATGCTTATCGTAGCAATTTCTATAATAGCAGAAAGATGGGAACAAATCAAAAACCCTGTCTGTGGAGAAGCGATAAATAAACCTTGTGCGTATACACAAATGGAATATGACGCACCCTTCAGCAGCAGTGATGAGTCTGTCAGGCACCTCATGACGTGGACAAAGTGAGAGAACATTACACTAAAGAAATTGAGTCCATTTTATAGCGATAACTATTTTGTGACACCAACATTTTTTTTAAAGGGAAACAGTGGCTTTCACACCAAAGGGAAATACTTTGAAAACTATGCTGAGGCCAGGGGCTGGGGAGAGGGAGTGGGGAGTGGGGCGCACGAGGAGGGTGGACGGGAAAGCGAAGAAGAAGAAAGAACCCCGCACAAGGGGGGTTTCCTGGGATGCTGTCCCTGTTCTGGGCAGCGACGCACAGTGTTTTATATTCCATAACAAAAAGGGAAAATAAATAAATGCATTTTACAATTTTAACTTAATATTATTATTTTTTATTAAATAGAAGTCAGCCTTGGAAACCGTCCAGATTCCTCACCCATCAGATGTGCACCCTGGTCTGAGTGGTTATAAAAGGGGGGAAATTAAAATTGGATCTGACTTAAATTGGAGTGACAGTGACACACGAGCTAGTTCAAACAAACAAACAAAAATTGTGACAAAGCTTCCTAAACATGTATGTGCATGGGAACCATCTGTATATCTTGTAAAAAAATATCGAGTCAAACATAGTTTAAGTCTGGAGTGGGCCTAGATTCTGTATTTTCTAACGAACTCCCAAGTTATGCTGCTGCTCCAGAGACCATGTTCTGAAGAGACGGTGCAGGACATCTTGAACACCTTCCTTCTGAAGCTAATTGGCCCCTGGAGAGCTGAGAGGCCACTCTTCAATGTGGTCTCATGAGGCTCCTGCTTTAATCAGCTGCTGGGAGGGAACCAGATTGATTGTTATGAGTTATGCTGAAGGTCAAATATGAGCCCAGGACAGCGTTCAGAGTGATCGACACATGTCATCTCCTCTGTGAACAAGAATAAATACATTTAAATGTTTTAAAAAGTTAACAGGACTGCCCCTCCCCCCAGAAGAATTTACTTGAGAGGACAGCAATGAAGCTGCAGCTAGGGGAGAGGGGCATGTCTGATCAGAGCAAATGGGAGCACTTAGGGGGAGGAAGAGAGAGTGGAGCACATCCTGACCCACCAGGCCTGGAGGACGACATCCCAGCTCTGAACAGCCAATGGACAGAGTGGACAATATGGCTGATCCCACCACGAGACATGCTGTCCCTTGATAGCCCCGGGCTCTAAGGGGGACAACACTGGAGACTCAGTGTCGGAACTGGCCCAAACTGCCCCTTAAACACTGAGGCAAACCACAAAAAGCGTGCAGCAGAGCGACCATGTTCTGTGGAGAAGCGAGCAGGGAGCCCCTGGGGGAGTACAAAGGACAGACTCTGGGGCCAGAGCATGGTACCCCATTGGTCCTGACTGAAGGACACGCCTAGAGATCAAAAATCAGACCTTGATCTATATACAGTGAACCCTCGCCACTTCGCGCTTCGACTTCCACAGCTTCACTCTATCGCGGTTTTTGCGTAACAGCGCATGCTCTGTCATTACTGCTACTGATTGGCTCATACTGTACACGCTTGATGC